ACACTGGAAAACAGGCCAAGCTCCAACATCTATAACTGTATATAGTGAAAATATCCCAAGCACCTTTCTCTTCTTCTCGACTATTTGAGCTGATGTAACCAGTACATTTCTCCAGTGTGAGATCATTATACTCAATCAATCAATCAATCAATCAATCAATCAATCAATCAATCAATCCAGTCAGCTTCTTCCAGCTGATTGGGTAAATCACCAATGGTACACGCCTCCCATGTCCAGCTTTCATCCAATCCCAGTAGCAGCTGTGATGCATCAAATTTCAAAAGTCAACTAATAATTCAAACTTAGCAATTCAGGTCAGGAGGAACATGCAAACATCTTTCCTACCCATAAAGACACAATTCTCGTCCTTTTGCTTGTTTTTAAAAAAAAGGAAAAAAGACAGACTGAATAGCGGAGTCCACCTGCGCAGCCATGTTTGTTTTATTTCAGCCTGCTGTTTCTGGTTGAGATCACACACGTCCCTGAATATCATCAAAACTTATCAGGATTCAAGGTAGATGCATCTATTGGCTTCTGGTAGGATATATTTTTTTCCAGGAGTTTGCAAATTCACAAATATTGCAACAATTCATCTTGCATGCTAGGAAAGCTGAAACATGGTGAGGTTCAAAGAGGCTCTAAGAGATCTTCAGAAAAAAGATCAGAGCAGTTTATGACTCAGACAGAATATTTAAAGAGGCCTTAAAGAAAATCTGAACAACTATTCTATTGGTTAAAAAAAAGTTTTTCCCAGTCTAGGAAATAAAAAACAAAAAAAAGCTGCCAACATGTCTAGATGCAGACGACGTGTTTGACATAAGCTAAAAACAGCATTCCAGGAAAATAACCTGATTATCTGCAACGAGGGTGGAAGAGTCATGGTTTGATGGATGCTTTGCAGCAGATGGACCATTCTTTAGCCATAAATGATTCCTCTGCTCTTGGTTTCAGTTTATGTTCAGTTAAGTTGCTACATCCTTTAGTTGCTGCAGCACGAACAATGCTTAGGCTTCTATTTACTCTAGATCTAACAGCTGCTATATGAAAAAAAACAAAAAGGGGCAATTTTTCTATTTTCTTTTATAGTTTCTTCAGTTGCTTACTTTAATTTAGAACAGTTTGCACCCAGGGGTGGATTTAGGAAATATGGGGCCCTAGGCAAAGACAGGCAGGGGGCCCCTCTGAATGGAGAAGACCTCAAACAGCCCCA